GATCAAGCCCTCTCTCCCATATGAATATTAAATAGGCTACCACCACGTATCTCTCTGCGTTAGTATTTGGCTGATGGGTCTGCCTCTCTGAGTATCATGCTTCAGTGCAACACAGGTAACATCATCCTCCTGTTTCAGGAATGTGTCTGTATCTGAAATCTGTAAGGTGACATCTGTAATGCTATGCATAAATTCTCCTTTGTGCTAGGAGAGCAGAGGCATAAACATTCTTTTGAATGACCCATGCTGCAGGAAGGTTGAAGTTTATTGGCATTTTTACTGCAGGTGCATTCAGGCATCTCTGACCTGAAGGCATTTATTAGAAAAACCTGTTCCCCTTTCTGGTGTGTGCAGCCCAGAAACCTCCTCCCGTATTTTGTTACAGATCTGCAATTCTCATTCTTCTAATCCTCATTCTTCTCTTACTCATAGCACGGTGATGGTGTTACATGGCCTGAGGCTCCCTGTTAAAGTGCACATGATCCATGGTAGGAGTGATGCCCCATAAACTCTATGTAGCAAAGGGGGGCCAGGCAGGTAGGTGGGTTATAGCTAACTGTTAGACCATGAACAAAGGAACTCTTGAGTTAAACTTCAGAGTTGTAATTTCCAGCTCTGCTGGAAGCTTTGTAGCTTTGCTCGAGTCTCTGAAGTGGAGCTTCCGTGTCACGTTATGAAAACTCTGGGCAGCTTTTTGGAGGTGGTGTGAGGCTTTGTTAATTAGTATTAGACCCAATTAGCAAAGCTGCCCTTAGGGCTCCATCCTTTCTACTGGGATTTCACTTTCGCCTCCCAAATCTATCTTTCACTTCCTCAGGAATCCTATGCAACTCACTTTGCTTCAAATTTAGAATAATTTCTCTTTTCCAGCCCTCTTCTCTCTTGTCACTGTCAGCACTGTCATTCCCCATTAAGTTCACAGCCATTATGTCCTGCTGGGCTCTCCACTTTCTCCTGTCATCAAAGCCCTTTTCAAATCCTGCTGCTTTTATAAGAACACAATAATCACTATATTGGATCAGACTAGTGATATCCTGAGTTGGTACTTCTGCCTTCAATAATGGCTGAAGCTAGATGCTTGATGGAAACTTGTAAAGAAACTGAGCAATTCCATCTATGGCTTGGGAAGCTTCTTCCTACACCCTGTACATAGTTGGATTATAACACCCCCATATCCCCATTGCTATGGAGAATCTCAGTCCCTTTCAGCTTCTCTTATGTGGATGAAGGCTTTCACAGATAAATTTGACTTAGGTTTGCATACAGGTGTCCAATAATTCTTTTTAATTCTGCCAGTCTCTTGGCCTCGGTGTTGGTGTATGTGAGTTTCCCCTGGCTAATTATGAGTTTCATGGCCTTGATCCTCTTGGGTTGCTGCTTTTGCTCTGGATTACTGCAGCATGCTTAAGTGGCCTGTTTTGTTTTCTCTTTTTGTCGGATGTTGGCACTTAAGAGTTGAAACTTCCGTTCCCTCCTAAGGTGTCCATTACCTTCTCTCTGTCGCCCAGCTGTCCTCCTGTCCTCCTGTGTTTTTTCTCCACTCTGTGTTGCCTCGTATGCACTCCCTCTCCTCCATCTAAGAGCTTGCCTGTTCCAAGAACCATTCCTGTTATTGCTTTATGCAGTCCATTTAGTTTGTTCTGTACGGTACTCATATGTGGTTTTAGGCTGTAAGCTCATCAGTCTGGCACACTGCGTTGCATGCTTCACCTCTTGTACCATGTTAGGTAAACACATTGTACTGGAATATTAACAGATGATTATGAAGTGCTCTGGGAGTCTCATGTGACATGCTCTGTAGAAGAGTTGGGATTGAAGAGAAAGGCCTGAGGTCTGCAGTATGGATTAAGGCCTAAAATATTAAAAGTTCGGGACTATTCAGATTCAGAGGTTTGGCTTAGATCACTGGTCCTGGAGAGGCTGGAGCAGGTGCTGTATGCACAGGGCCAGTCCAGCACACACTGCTTGTGGACTGTGGATCAGCTCTGTACCCAGGGGCAACATCGTGGGCTGGATGATGGGGCTCTGCAGGCCATATCTTTAACACACAACCTGGCTTAGATGTGTCTCTACTTGTTGATGAAATTAAAAGGAATAACTGTCTCCCACACAAAAATCTAGTCCCTCCATTTGTTTTCTTCTCCACTCACCTTCCCCATCCCTTCTAAGTGATTGCAGGTTATAGGTCAGTTGGTTTGGGGGGTTTTGTCCCGTCAGCTTTGACACAATTCCTCTTTGGTTTGCTTCCTTATATACATCTGAAAATATGTTTTTAGAGATGCCTGGTGGAAGTACAAAGTGGCTTTTCTGAGCCAGGGTAATTGAAATGAGAGCCTCTGAGAAGAGAGGACCCTGATGTGAAAGAGAGGACTCAGCTTTGGTATGAGTTACTTTAATAAAAAAAAATAAATAAAAAAGACTATATATTCTGTATTTATTTTATGAATGGGTCATAATTTTTAAAATCAGTGAATATTCCTCTAAGAATGCGCTTCCTTTTATAGTATCCCCAAGTGGTGTTTTTCTTGAATTCGGCTTAGAGCCTTTTCCTATTTCTAATTGTTTAGTAACACCCTGAGTGCTTGATTTGTCTCCCTATCCCTTGGCTTTCTTGCCTCGTCGGTGCATTATTATGATTTCAGTGAGACGACGCCAGTGTTGAGTGTTTAATGGGCTGTGTGCAGGAAGTTCAGCTATTTCCTCTGGCTGTGAGACTGTGATGTCATCAGCTGCTCTGGGTTGTCTTATCATCCGCTGCTGCTGTTGCTTTGGTGTATGTGAAAAGAATGTAAACAGTACTCTCCAGATGTTCTCTGGGAGGCTGCAGACCCATAAATGGGATGTTTGGTTCAGGAATATTAGTAATATGTTTAGGCGGTGGCAATGAATAGCGGCATAAAAATGTATAGCTCTGTAAGCATCTCGGGCAGCATACCCTGTCAGTTATATCATGTATGAGAAAAAGTTGCATATAGTTGGCAAGTGTGACAGTTTCCTCTGTCTACTTATATGGTACCCTCGAAGTAGTATCTGAACACTTCAGACATTAATAAGTACCTTGGAAAGCAGTGGTCTCCCCATTTCACAGTTAGGCCCAAATCTCTTTTGCATCATATTCAGGAGCTGAACCTAGGCACTTGGAGTCCCAGCTCCTAAAATACCATTGTTTATTTATGGCATTATCCCATTTCTTTCCAGGTTACCTCCACTCAGCTTCAACTCCTGAAAAGCGAATAGAGGATTAAATTTTTAAAAGCAGTAGCCTGGTGTCTCCCCTGACTTAAAAATACAGGTTATAGTGGCCAGCTGGGAGCTGAGGAGGTGTTTTATTTCACTGCTGCTCAGGATGAAGTTGGGAACTCATGGATCCTGAACTGGAAAAAGCATCAAATCTAATTTACTGATAGCACATCCAAAAAAAATAGTCTATTTGTGGTGAGAGGGATGGGGGGAAATTGGTTGCTTGCCACTTTAGGGTGTGTGTGTCTTTTTAATGGACTAATTAATTTTTATTCGGCGTTGGAAAAACTGATGTCAGAGCTGCATTGTGGCAGGGCAATGTAGAGTGCAAGGTGATATGCATTGTGGCAGGGCAATGTAGAGTGCAAGGGGCTGGGAAATAATATAGCTAAGATCATAAGGCCAGTGAAAGTTTAACCATGGGGAGTTTAAAATAGCAAAGCTGAGCCATGCCTATATTAAAAGACATGACTGAATTGAAATAACAGTCTAATATTAAACTGCTTTTCATTCTTTGTGGGAGGCAACAGAGAGCTTGGCTAGCTCTGTCCCCGTATCCAGTGTCCCAGGCTAGGCTTCATAAAAAATACGTTAATTTTTTTCCACTGGTGTTTTTAGCTTGTATCCAACACACCATAGATTTGCTGACAGCAGGTCTCTTGCATCTCATTGCAACATGTAAACTTAGTATAATTGCACTGACTGTTCATCTTTGAGTTTTGTGGCAACTAACACCAGAGTTTCCTGGAGCTTTCACCATACTTCTGTGAATCAAAGTTGCCTTGCTGCCATGTCACCATTTTTTGGTTTTAATTATGGTATTTCAGCAAGTGTAGGGTTTGAATAGTGTGTTTCTTCCATCCAAACCAGCTCAGGGAAGCATGTGAAAGGGGTCTTTCCTGTGTTCCATCGTAGCAGGCCAATTTAAGCAGGTCTCCTTTCTGCTTTTTCCTTGTTGGGGAGCTACAGGATTGAACAAGTTTTGCCTTTTATTTGCATATTCCCGTAAGACCTAACTGTTCCTAAGCATCTCAGTTTTGCTGCTGGGGTGCTTACTTTCTAAAAACATGTTTTGTGGATTCTGTCACAAAAGCCAAAAGACTGAATACAAGTGGGTGAGTATGTTAGACCATTAACCTCTAGGGATCAGAGTTTTGAAACCTGTGTCCCTGAGTAAAAACAGGCAAGCAGGCAGTGGTCTCCTAGTCCCTAGGGTAGGCTTGCTTATGTCTCAAACCTGCAGTTCCATGGCACTGTTAGTTTTAAATAGTTCATCCCTGTCCACAGCAGGTACTACAAATAGAGGTGCACTGGTAGGATTTCTGTGTGCAGAACTTGCCTGGTCTCTGCTGGCCCAAGTCCTTGCATTCGTGAGTCGTTATTCAGACAGAAAGTTTTAAGAAGGAAAAAGCTACTTTTCCTGTGGTAATCCTTGAGTGCAAGTTTGTCTGTAAACCTGTCCAACATAATCTCTCTCTCTTCCCAGCACTAACCAGCTAGCTGGAGTGCTCAGACCCATGAGAACAAGGCATGGGAGGTGAAGGGAAGAGCTTGTGAAGGTGCAGCCAAAAAGCAGCTCAGTTACATAACTGTACAAAGGAAAAGGGCTTTTTTTCCCCCCCTTTCACGTCCTTCTGCAAAATGAAAAATGTTGTTGGAAGCCTGAATGGAAATTTTTTCAGCATTATCCAGCCCTGCAGGGACACATAATGTATTGACATATTCCACCTGTTTTATGGCTGCTGCTTTTCCTCTTTCAGGTTTGACATCTACAGGAAGGTGCCAAAAGACCTTACGCAGCCAACCTACACAGGAGCTATTAGTAAGTACCAGCCCTCAGTGCTGTCCTTGCATACTCCAGTCTAAAATTAGGGGTCCTCCTGGCCTCTGTCTCTGAAAGGCTTGTTATTTTAAGGCATATGAAACACAAGCGAAGGCATCCCATGTAGCTGAGAGAACTTGCTGTGTCCAGTCTGTGTGAGCGTACCAAACCGCTGGGTAACCCATGGTTTTAACATAAAATGGTGGTGATGTTTTGTTAAAAGAGGGAGGGAGTTCTTGAGAGCAGGATCTAAACTTCCCGACAGTTACTTCGTAAATGCATTGAAATAGGTGGGGGTGCAGGGTGCTTCTTGTTATCTCCTTCCCTTAAACGAGGTGTGAGTGCCTGCTCTGAATAGACCCCATAAGCCTTGCTATGTTTTACTTTATTTTCTGATCATATTAGATGCTCCCTACCTGAAGCTGACAGGGAACTGGAGTAAACATAGTTGCAGCCTATGAAGGGTGGGGGCAGGGGGGAATTCTGCCCAGAAGGATTTTCTGATTAGGTTGTTTGAGGACCCATCCCACCATGAGGCACTTGGGAACATAGTGGAGACGCTAGGCAGGAGTGAAGAAGCCTCTGGTGGCAGTTGAGGGACCTGGGACAGTGAGGTAGGAGTGAAGAAGAGTTTCTCTCATGTCAGGGATGGGGTTAGTAGGGAGAGGCAATATATTTGATGCTATTCTCCTTTGTTTTTATTTTTCACCTTGTTAGAAATGTCCTACAACAAGGGTGTCCAACCTGCAGCACAGGTGCCACAAGTGGCATAGGCTGGCTCTGTGGGTGGCATGTGTCAGACTGGGAAGGGGAAAGGCAGCCCTGCAGCAGGTAGGGCAGAACACAGAGCAGCAGTGATTGGCCAGGGAACACAAGGCAGCGAGGAGAAAGTGGGGCAGTAGATGAGGTAGGGAGCACAGGCTGGGAGGAGAAAGCAGAGTAGCAGATCAGGCATGGGAAGGGGATTGGAATGACATTCAGAGAGCGTTTGGGACCAACTTGTATCATGCCTGCCAAAAAGGTTGGCCCCCACTGGCCTACAGCAGTCCACTCCCACTCAGTGTCTCTATGCATAGTTTTTGACTGATGTAAATTTCTTGCCTTGGGCCTCTCTCCCTTCCTTCCTCCTTCTGTGACTGTAGTCTGCTGGCTGAGTAATGCAATTTCACACCATCGTTACCTGTGAGTGTGCTGCGTAGAGTGGTAAATACAGATCAAGCTGATCCTGCCAAGTCTGTAATTAGATGCCTAATGCAGCTTTCCTGTTCCTTTCCACACTGACTTCCTTTGATCATATAGCTGTGCCCCATTCACTCAGCCTCTTAGATTGGGTCTGCAGTCCTGTATGTCACTGCTGACGTGGGTGATGTCACTTCCCTTGGTGGCAACAGGTGCTGAATGGAACTGAGTTAGTAATAGTGAATCAGTAGGATCCAAAGCAGAGGCCTTTTGTGATCTGAAAGAACTCCTGATCAAAGATGGGTTGAGATGCTATACCCAGCATTTGTCATCAGAGTCCATATACCTCTGCTCTCCTGACCACTCAATGAATCCTGTTTTGACTCCCCTTTAGTCACGCTGAAGCTGCTAAGACTACTCAGGATGTGGTAGAACAGTACCTTGCATAGATATGGAGACTAAATGAACCTGTCTACTGGAAACATGGACATAGAGAATAAGTTAACTTGTGTATCAGCTCAGTGGCAACTTAAGATTTATTATTTTCAAGGGAGTCTTTGAACTTGTTGAGGGCCCCAGCACTTCTTTTCGGGGAGAAAAAAATCCCCCACAGTATGTTCACTGTCTCTTGGAGTTCATCCTGTAATGAAATTACCCTTATCTCTAGAAGAACTTTGAAAATCTGCTTTTGCAGCTGGACTAATATACCCCTCTCGAGTCTCATGACCAGAGGAGTAACTTTGTCATGGAAAGTTGTGGAGACCATGAAGTTTGTATAAACAATTGACTGACTGACCCCTCCTGACAGCCTGTGCTTCCACCTTTCCCTTTTGCCCACACTGCTTTCCTGAGCAGTTCCTCTAGCTGTTGCTCCTTCCCACTGCCTTGGTGGCATGGAAGGGGATATGGCCTACTTTCCCACAGACATCCCATAAAAGTAGTTGGCACTTCTGCTGGTTCTGTACATGCAAATCTCTGAATGTAGTTTTCTCATTTCACTTGACCTGTAATTCAACCTAAGCAGTGCAGGAAGTCGTGAGCGAGGCAGGCCCATTGCTGTATGCAGGCAATAGTGTACCAGTTGGCTGTCTGTTTGGCCAGTAGGACCATGTCCTAAATATGTCATGGAATTTGGGTTGTAGTTATCTTACAGGATGAAGGAAGAAGCCTCACCCAGAAAAGACCCTCCAGGGTAGTAACATTGGTGAAATGGCTAGCTTACACGAGACTTCAAGAGAGGATTCATGGCACAGTTTTATAAGGGTTGGTAGCTGCTGATCACTCCCAAACAAGTACTTCCCCTGGTGCTGCAGATGCTTAGTCCGGTGCTGCTTCCGGAAGGTAACTTGCCTGCTGCGGAAGGCTTCCTGGAATAGGAATGGGGTCATCAGACAGACTTGCACTGTTGCTTTTGGGTTGCAGAAGGCTGTTTTGGAACGTTTGTGCATCAGTCTACCCATGCTGCCTGCATAAAGGAGTAGTAAGCCAGTCAAATGCCAGGGGACAGATGTGTTGGAAATGGGAAGTACCAAGGTCTATCATTGTTCTTATTATCAAAGGAAGCTAGCTAAGAGTTGCTAGCTCTTGACACATTCTAACACAGAGCTGTTCCAGAGTCAGCCTGTGAGTTTCTTTGGGGGTTTTCTACCTATTGGCCCTTCTCTGTGGACCAAAATGAAGGTCTTCCTTCAGGAAGTGCTGCAGGGGAAGCATTTTGGCATGCTCCTTGGATATACCTTTAAGTAAACAGTAACCAGCTTCTGCTGTCATGACCTTCTTGTACATGTTGTAGTATGGCCTGATCCTGCTTGCATTGAAGGACTTCACAACACTTGCACTAACTTCAGTGGGATTGGGGCTGGGCATATAGTGAGCTAATAGTCTGTGAATGCCACTTTTGTGGTGCTGTTTGTTAAAAGTTGCTTGTGTACCCCTAAGGAAAAGCAAGCGTCTAGGCTCCTGTAAAAAGCACCAGTGTCTTGTGCTTATCAGTGACTAGCTCAGCTGAATCTTCAGTTTTCCACACGTTGAAGGTTTTTTTCGGAGAAGCTGATCTACCTGCACCAAACTGGAGTCACCTAGAAGTGCTGTCCAGACTGGTTGGCTGCAATAAAGGAGGAGGAAGAAATATTATAAGCACCTTGTCAGGGGTGTCTGGTGCAGAGGGAGACTAGTTTCTTTGTGGTCTCTCACATAATTGCAGTAGTTGCTGTAGTACTGATGCCCCAGGAGTCCTTATTAAAACAGATATTCCCGCCCAGAAGCAGATAGAACACTTCTGTTTCTTCCCATCTACTTCCTTCTTTATTTAGTGCTCTCTGATTCTTGGCATACTAGAATCTCTGTAGAATAAGGACCTGGAATTGAGCGTAGGTCCTCCTTTAGCAAGATATGAGGATACAGAATACTGTGTCCCTTGTATCCTGAAAATAAGGAGGGGAGTCCCAGAGTAGGTGGAGGAATCTAATCTGAGTCCTGCAGGGTGGTACAGCAGTCTAGCCACTAGATACTTAAGGATTGGGAAACAGGTGAAGTGGTATAATCTGATCTATAGAGATTTGCAATTGCAAGGGATATGATGGGTACCACACATAACGATTTAAGGATGTGCAGCACGATCCCATTGGTAATAACCAATGTTTACTATAAATTCAGACTTTTGCGCAACTGGAGGTTCTGGCACAGTCCACTAAGATTTGATGGGGTGCATAGACCTATGCCAGGGATTCTCAACCAGAGTGATGCAAGATCCTTTTAAGGGTGTTGTGGGACGCCATACCATATTGGTACTGTTAGACATGCAAACACCTATACGTAATTCTCAAGATAAACCTGGAGATTTCACTTGGGATTCAATTAAAGTGTCAAATCCCTCCTGCGGGCTTACTGAGTTCTTTGCAACAGAAGAATTACTCTAATATTTTTCCATAGTAAAAAAACAAAGGGAAAGCGAAAAGCTGGCATTTTCCAAAGGGGAATCTAGAGTCTACAAAGGCTGAGAACCATTGACCAGCAAATAGTCATTCCAGTGGACCTGGAATAACACTGTGGCAAACTTGCCATGTTTGGGTATGTACACTGCAACAACACATGCCCTGGCAATTTGACAGCTGGCATCTGACTGGACATGAGTAGTCAGATGTCTTGAAAGGGGCCTTCAATCCAGACAGCTGTTCTTCTGATCTCCCGTCACTGAACTGTCAGCATGGATGCATAGTGGACTTGTTCATATTGTATTCACATCTGATAATGTTCTTTAGAAATTCTGCAATGCCATGTGGAGGTTGGAGTTTTAAATACATATCAGGAAATATCAAAACCATGATTCACGTGGTCTCTGAAATGTGATATCCCCCCCGAACTTCATAGGAGCTTGTTTCATTGAACAATAAATGTATTTATTTTTTGCCTTAATATAGGCATGCACTTATGTTCCCAATTAGAATATGTTAAAGGAAGTTCAAAGCAAAAAGCATATTAATTTCTTTAGGAGGGATGAAAAATAAGGGGGTTACAGCGATCACGGATGCAGTGACATCATACGTAGACTGTGTTAGACTGGAGACGCTGATGCTAAAAAACTAAACAAGCACCCTGTCCTAAAGGCTTCTGACTGGCTTATTGGCAGCATGTTCCCACACAGCATGTTCTGATATTAGGTAACAACTGTAAATTTTAATGTACTCGATGGATTTACGTTGGCACAGCTCTATGAAAACGAATCTAGGATGGTTCTTGACAGCTCTATGGGGACATTTTAGCGCTCCTGCCGTTAAGTTTCATAATAAAACATCTAAATCTGTCTCTATCGTTTAAACTACTGCTCCAGCTACAACACGTCTGCCAAACATGTGACCTAGGTTGTTGCCTGTTGATGGTGAGACAGATAAAGTACTCCACTATGAATAACCTCCATGAAGCAAATTGTTCATGACTTGGTTGCAGGAGCACTCTGTATGTTTGGGGATTTATGCAGTGTAAAAGAACACATTTACTGCATCTGAAAGGGCTGCTGTTCTGCATTGGAGAGAAATTGCAGGTCAGTTGCATACAGGATGAAGGCCCTGTTTCCAAAATAGCATGTGTGCACATGCATGTGGTTATGTAGTATCTATAATGGTTATATAGCACTTGTTCTCTGAAAAACAGACTCTTGTAGAGTGTATGAATTTGGACTCCTAGATTTGCTAGTTTGTTTTTTGTTTAAACCATTTAAGCTAGTGCCAATTAGTCCTACTCTATTTGGCAGGTATTGTTGCAAGTCTTTAGTGGAAGAATAGATTTGAATGAAGAATTTGAGAGAGCAGATGTTCAGCATACAGCACAAGGGGAAGTTTAAGATGTTCTAGGCATAAGGGCGTAGAAGAAGGTGTAAAGAGAGAAAAGAAAGAAAGGAACAAAAGAGGTGTTTCCAATAGCAGCTCAGGGTTTGAATAGGAGGAAATGAAAGGAATGGTGGTGTGGCATTGTGGAGGGCCTTTGTAGGAGAAGAATTTTGAATGGGATATAGAAAGTGAGGAACTGCCACTGAAAGGAGTTTGTGGGGTGGGATGGGATGGATGGACTCTTACAAGCATTTCACTGTGGTCTTCTGTGCAAAAAAAAAAAAAAATTCCTGAGGCTATGGCTGGTGTGTTGTATGTATTATGTAGGGGAAGACACTTTCCTGCATACTGTCAAGGATCAGTGACCCAATCTTTCTGTTGTTGGGTAGTTATGACTAAGAAGCATCCTGATCAACTGGTCTGGTCAGAAACAATCCCCTTTTATGTTCTTTGGTGCGTAAACGTAAGTCCCCTGTCCACTTTTCATAGGAATTTCCCCCTTGCCGTGTGCCCTGGGTAGAACAAAATGTTGAATTCTTATCTCTTCCAAAGGTACAAAGATGGAAGGAACTGCGTGCATGCATCTAAAGAGAGCTTTTCCCTTTAAAGATTTAAATCCCCTCCTTTCCCTGTTTTCCTGCTATTCTTTAGCTTTAGTTTTCCTTTCTTCTTTCTCTGTCATTAAAATAATGATTGACTTGATAGCTTCTGGCATCTCTCTTGATCCTTCCACTTCTGAGAGGGTTAATGAGTGAATCTGCCCCTGAGATGACACTGATGGAAAAGTGGGGAACAAGTCAGGAATTTGCCTCTCACTAAATGTGTAGGTCTTACCAACTGGAAGCATGGGCTACTGGTGCCGTCTTAGTCAGGGGGGTACGTGCAGCAACCAGTCAGTGACCGTGGGAGGGGGAGAAGTCCCAGTGTGGCTGATCTCGCTGACTTGGGGGGGTCCCCCCGTGGCTGATTGCAAGATGGGAATGCAACGGTGCTCCACTCCCTTGCTGGTGCTTCCGGGGGGGTGGGGACGGGACACTGGCACTGCCACCTGTCCCCCCTGCCCTTTGCCTAGGTGGCAAGTGTGGCAGGTCAGGGGGTGCACTAGTGCTCTCGGGGTGCACGTGCACCCCCTACACATCACTACTGGCTGGAAGAATAAGGCACAAAACTTTGGGCTGTTTTTGGTATCCATCTTGTCATTCCCCTTGGCTATGCCCTTCCTCTCCTTGCCTCCAAATGTCTTTGTTTTTGACAGGAGCAGTATCACTTTGATTCCTGGGAATGCAAGTTGCATTGGTCATGTGGAATAAATTAGAGGGAATGAGCCCCCCCATTCCCCAGTGTAGCTGTCCATGCTCCTTACTTGGATTGTGGCAAGGTGGTCATTTCCACATAATTGTTGAAAATGCCTTGGAAGTGGGACTGACGAGTGGGTGAGCCAGGGTCACATGCCTGTCGTCATGACCTTGGGAATTATGTGCTATTTCCTAGCTTTGGCTTATGGTGATTCACTCTGGAGTCGGAATGTCTATTTGTTTTTTAATACAAATGTGAATTCCAGCCTTGACCCCTCAGTTGCCAAAGCCTTGCCTTGTAACCGTCCTAAGTTAAGCGTTTACAGCCTTTCTAACACTCCACCCCATCTCTTCCTCCCACCCCCCCACACTGTGATCTCATGATGATTTCATGAACCCGAGTGCTTACACAGTGTGCTGAGTGGGTTCCTGGTGAAGAGTAAACAATAGCACGAAAGCTTACGGAGTTCCTGTCTTCTATCCTTGTACATACTCGAGGTGAGCTGGCTCAAGGAGAAGACATGGAGGTTTGCTGTCAGTCGCCATGGGAATCTTGTTCTCTGGGTTACTGAAAATCTTTCATCACTAGAGCTGAAGCACCTGATGATGGGGGCGCTTACACAAATGCACGTCTCAGGCCCGTCTGGTTGGGCATTCCCAACTCCGCAGCATGCTGTCTAAAGCCGTTGGTCCATTTGATCTACAAACCTACCCCTGACGGTGATGTAGTATTTTACAGAAAGGCAAAACTCTTCCACATCTCTGTAATGTGCTTGGCCAATTATGTAGTATGGTATTGGTGTGGGGAGAGGCTTATCCTTCCTGTCCCTGCAGGAGACCCATGTACCCTTCCTGACTGCAGCATGCTGTTGGCTGGGGCTCTTTAGAAGTCATGTTCATTGAAGAAGCTGCCCAGAGGAAGTGAGGGCTGGAGGATGGAGTAAGTGAGAGTCAAAGGGGCAGGGCAACTGCAGCTTGGGTAAGAAAGTGACCCCAGGATGGAGACATCAAGCAGGCATCTACAGCTATATCCAGCTTAAGATTTCAGGCTGTCAGGTCATCCTAGTTCTGTCACCAGACTCCAGTGGCCTAGTATGAATTATTGTTGCTGTGGGGGAAAAAAAAAGAAAAAGTAAAATGTAGCTCCCAGGTTGTCTTAGGGGACAGAACGATGTTGGGGAAATCCTGGTGTGTTTGAAAACCAACCAAAATCTTGTGCAGAGTTAAACTAACCTTTTTCCACACCTGGGTCTTTTCCAGTCTCTGTTTGCTGCTGTCTCTTCATACTGTTTCTTTTCCTGTCTGAGCTCACCGGATTCATAGCCACTGAAATGTAAGTAAAAACCTTTTGAAAGTATTTGAGGAGTTTTTGTTTTTCTCTCCTCTTTTATCTGCTGCTTTAGCCAGGGTGTCACACTGGTCTTGGATTCATGTGTCTGTACTTGCATTACCCCAACTAATTGTTCAATGGCATTTGGACTTCCTTCTTGCTGAAACCAGAGTTTCCAATATTCCCGCATCTTTTTTAATTTACCTTAGAAATTAAGAACTACATTTTCTTTTCTCCATGGAAGGATGCTTGTATCCTGTTTACTCCTTTGTCAGCTCTATACTGCTTTTACATATTGAACATGGTCGACATTTCAGGCTGACTGGAGGTTTTACATCAATCTGGCCTTTTCATAGTATTTAATGATCAGGAAGAAGGTAGTGCAAATGCTTAAAATAATAATTAAAAAAAAGCCAACTGTAAATTAAGTTATAGATCATCTGTCTTGTCATATGCTAAGACGCATTTCCCATCACCCTGGCCCTGTGCTTGGGACAGAACCTGGCTTTGTTCATCTTTATTTTGAGGTGATTCTGAAAAAGTGATGCTCACCCCAGTGAGGTCCCATGTATTTAAACATGGTGGTGGCAAGTGGCTGGAGCCAAGACTCCCAAATTAATTTTGTGCTTGGTGTTACCATTAGCAAAATGCCTTCTTTCCACTTGTTTCCCCATATATGAAATGGGGTTAATACTTTGCTTGCCTTTGTAAAGGATTTGAAATTGATTGTTTGAAGAAAGGGAATATGGCAGTACAAGTAGTCTTTAGCAAATATTTAGAATTTAGTATTCACAAATGTGATATATTGATGGTGGGAGATTTGAAACCTTTCTCCTTTTCTTTGCTCAGCAAGCCTTATTTGGAAATGTAGTTAACAACTTTTCTTTTTCTGAAGAGAATTTCTCCTTAGGTGATCTCTTGGGACCTTGCTCTGAGCATAAGAGGAACAACTTCCTTTATAAAAATTGTACGCAGGCCGAGTGCTTTAATACCTCAGTCATCTCTTCCTGTTCTTGTGTTCCTGCTATACTAAAATAAACTTTCTTTAGTGACATGGGTGCCAGGAGTCATTCCCTGTCATCCTGTGAGTGTCACACTGAGCTCACTGTGGTGTCTGGGGAATTGAATTCCTGGGGAGTTAGCATTGTGGAATTTCCACTGGGGAAACAACATTTTAATGAGGAGCCCAGTTGGGCCTGTGGGAAAGTTGGAAAATGGATGAGATTCATTAGCCACATTTTACTTGCACAGCATGGCAGGCTTTGAGGAATTTGTGGTAGTGTGCATTTCCCCTATAGCACTCTGTTTTTATGTGACTGTCTTAGTGTGAGGACCTTATCCCAAAGGAAACCTTGGATGGCAAAGACAGCACTGAAATACTAATTGTAAATTTCTAACATGTCTTCCTTGCTTACTACGTTAGGGTGTCTTCCATTTCCGCTCTAGCTCACTCTCTAACTTCGATTCAACACCATCACTCTGTCGCTCAGTGAAATACGCAGGATGTCCCTAGAGCTACTAGGGAGTAGTACCTACTCCCACTCAGTGAAATACTCAGGATCTCTCTAGAGCTGCATCTTCAGGATTCTCGTATGCAAACAGAGAGAGAGTACTACATCCACAATACTACTCACTTCTGACTCCATATTTCAAAGATCCTGTATTGCAGATATCAAAGAAATATCTTACACGAAATATCTTTGATACTACTTGTCTGATTTCAGAAAATTACAGATTCCAGGGGCAGTAAATAACTTCTACCTTGACCTTAGACAAGAAAATGGAGCAAGGCGGTGGGGGGGGGGAGAATAGTCTAGTGGTTTGGAATACGGGTCTGGGAGGATGGAGAACAGTGTCCAACTTCTAGCTCTGTGTAATTTTGGGGCAGATCATTTGCTGCTTTTTCCAAGTTGCTTTCTGTAAGCTGGATGCAATAATGCCCTACCTCTTAGGGATGTTTGGAGACTTTGTTGATTTGTAAGATATTTTTGAAAATGTAAAGAATTATTTATTAGCAAATTTCCACTAGATTTCATTACCTATTTGGCTTCTCTCTCTATAACAGGAATCCCCCATATCACATCTCCTTCCCTGCTTGAAATTTCATATTGGTGGTTGTCTTTATTTTTTGACTAACGAGCATGTGCAGATACATGGGGTAAGTTAGCTTGCCTTACATCAGCCTGTCTTCTCTTACGCAATTCTTAAAGCAGCAAAATATCTCCCTTTGCAAAATGAGGTTGCATGGGGATATCCGAACACTTTGGGTGGCTGCGAGAGAGCCAGAGAACTTGTCTTTGTGCTGCATAGCACAGCCAGAGGCATACCAGGACACACATATTAATGAATAACCTATTATGTGTTAGTGTTCACCTTGTTGCACGTGGATGTAGACGAAAAGAGAGCCTGCTTGAAGGCAAGTTAGCAGGAATTTTGAAGCCAGTGGAATACTTGCCTAGTTCAGACTGTGGTAACTTGTTTTAGAATTATACAAAATTAGGGTTGGAAGGTACCTCAGGAGGTCATCTAGTCCAGCTCCCTGCTCAAAACAGGACCATAGCCAGCTAGGTCATCCTAGCCAAGACTTTGTCTAGCCGGGTCCTAAAAGCCTCCAAGGATAGAGATTCCACAACTTCTCTGGGTAAACCTGTTCCAGTGTTTTACTACTCTCCTAGTGAGAAGATTCTTCCTAATATCTAACCTAAAATTCCCTTGCTGCAACTTGAGACCTTTGCTCCTTGTTCTGTCATCTGCCACCACTGAGAACAGAATAGCTACATCCTCTTTCGACCCCTACTTCAGGTAGTTGAAGGCTGCTACTAAATCCCTTCCCAGCCTTCTCTTCTCTAGACTAAATAAGTCCAGTTCCCTTAGTCTTTCCTCATAAGCCATGTGCCCCAGCTCCCAAACCATTTTTGTTGTCCTCTGCTGGACTCTCTCCAATTTGTCCATATCTGTTCTGTAGTGGGGACCCAAAAACTGAACACAGTACTCCAGATGTGGCCTCACCAGTGCTGAATAGAGGGGAATAATCACTTCCCTTGACCTGCTGGCAACACTCCTACCAATTCAGTCCAGTATGCCATTAGCCTTCTTTACAACAAGAGCACACTTGGCTCATATTCAGCTTATTGTCCACTGTAACCCCTAGGTCTTTTTCTGTAGAGTTGCAGCCCAGCCAGTCAGGCTTCAGCCTGTATTGGTGCATGGGATTGTTCCATCCTCAGTGCAGAACTTTGCACTTGTCCTTGTTGCACTTGTCATGAGATTTCTTTTGGCCAAATCCTCTAATTTGTCTAGGCCACTTTGAATCCTAGCCTTACCCTCCAGTGTATCTACTACTCCCCCTAACTTGGTGTCATCTGCAAACTTGATGTGGGTGTACTCTATACCATCTTCCAGGTCATTGATGAAGATATTGAACAAAACTAGCTCCAGGACTAACTCCTGGGGCACTCCACTTGATACTGGCTGCCAACTAGACATTGAGCCATTGATTACTACCCTCTGAGCCTGATGCTCCAGCCAGTTTTCTATCAACCTTACAGTCCACTTATCTAGACCATACTTACTTAGTTTGCCTGCAAGACTGTTGTGGGAGACCATATCAAAAGCCTTGCTAAAATCAAGATATACTACATCTACTGGCCTCCCAGCATTCACAGAGCCAGTTATCTCATCATAGAAGGCAATCATGTTGGTCAGGCATGGCTAGCCCTTGGTGAATCCATGCTGACTGTTCCAGATCACCACCTTCTCCTCCAAGTGCTTAGAAATGGATTCCTTGAGGATCTTCTCCCTGATTTTTCCAGGGACTGAGGTGAGGCTGACTAATCTGTAGCTCCCTGAATCCTCCTTTTTCTCTTTCTTAAATATGGGCACTATGTTTGCCCTTTTCCAGTCATCCCAGGACTTCTCCCAATCGCATGAGTTTTTTCAAAGAAGATGGCCAGCAGCTCTGCAGTCGTATCAGTCAACTCCCTCAGCACGCTCGGGTACATCCTATTTAGTCCTATGGACTTGTATATGTCCAGCTTTTCTAAATAGTTTCTAACCTGTTCTTTTGCCACTGTTGGCTGCTCCCCTCCTCCCCAAACTGTGCTGCCAGGTGCAGTACTCTAGGAGCTGACATTACTTATGAAGACTAAGGTGAAAAAGATGCTGAGTATTTCAGCCTTTTCTGCATCCTCTGTCACTAGGTTGCCTCCCACATTCAGCCTCCCTGACTTTATTCCTGCATGGCCAAGCAGTAATCTTATATTCTTCCCTCATTGTTTGCCAAGTTTCCACTTCTTATAAGCTTCTTTTTTGTGATTTAGTTTACTGAAGAGTTCCCTACTAATCCAAGCTGGTCTTCTGCCATACTTGCTAGTCTTCCTGCACATTAGAATGGTTTGTTCCTGCACTCTCAGTAAGGCTTCTTTAAAGTACAGCCAGGTCTTCTGGACTCCTCTCCACAGGGACCATGAGTTCTCTGAGTGAGCCATAGTCTGCTTTGATGAAGTCCAGGGTTCTTACTCTGCTGCTCTCCATCCTTCCTTTCCTCAAGATCCTGAACTCAACATCTTGTGGTTACTGCTGCCCAAGCTGCCATCTACTAGTACATTTCCCACCAATTCATCCCTGTTTGTGAGCAGCAGGTCAAGAAGAGCACAGCCTCTAGTTGGCTGCTCCAGCACTTGCACCAGGAAGTTGCCTCAACACACTCCAAAAAGTTCCTGGATTGCCTGTGTACTGCTGTGTTGTCCTCCCAGCAGATGTCAGGGTGATTGAAACTAGGGGTGTGTGAAGCAAGCAGTATTCGATTCGGATTCGGCCCGATTTGGGAGACAGTGATTTGATTCGCTGATTCGGATCACTGTCCTGATTCAATTTGGCCGAATCTGAAGATTTGATTCTGATTTGGAGAATCAGCGATTTGGCCATAGACGGAGCTTTATATGTTTTTCCTACATACCTCGAGGTACGAGGCACAGCTCGTGAATGCTGGGATGGTGGGGCAG